GAGGAGTGGAATCTGCGTCAGAATGAGCAGATGGAGAAGAACCGGGCAAACAACAGGTATGTTGGGATCGGCGTGGCCATGAGAGCTGTGGTAGGAGCCAGATTGGCCTTCCTGGGATGTCGGAGGGCCTCTGACCCCACAGTGGGGCCCAGCCCTGTGGGGACGGAGCTTTGCCAGGCAGGGGGAGAGACCCCACGGCTTTGGGCAGCTCTGGTGGCTGTGCAGAGCTGCCCTGGCTGGGACCACACTGGGCTCACCGTGGGATCTCAGTGCCTCCTGCCCCCCGTACAGGCCTCGCATTGGGGCAGGAGGGTTGGGGCAATGTCTGCGTAGCCCTGCCGTCACCGGCAGGTTTTCCTGGTTCCGTGTACGCTGTGATGAGTGGGTCACGCTCTGTGGGAGGACGCTAACCCCGTTTCTCTCTTTCTAACCCTCTGCCTGCCTGTGCTCTGCGCTCTCTCTCTGTCTCTGCCTCGGGGCTAGGATCGCTGACAAAGCCTTTTACCAGCAGCCGGACGCCGATGTGATTGGCTATGTGTATGTGCCTCTTACGGACCGTGTCCTGCCCCGCAGGGTCTGGGGGTCCTGGCCCCAGCACTGGCTGCCCAGCCAGGGGAAGGGGGGGGGCTGGGCCCTGGTGAGGTGCCGGAGGGAGGATGATGCAGCTGAGCATCTCCAAACGGTGAAGTCTTGGGAGGCAAGCGGAGCTCCTGGGAATGCTCCTGTGGGGGCTGGTTTAAGAAACAAAGCCATGGGGTCTTGTGCATTTTGGGGGATGGCTGTGGGGTGAAGTCTTGGGAACAGGCAGCCCCCCCAGTGGCCCTGGATGAATGATGTGAGTGCAGCTCATGGCAGCCTTGAGCATCCTGTGTCTCTGGATCCCAGAGGATGCTGAGCTCATTGGCTGGAGCAAGGGGACAAGAAGTGGGGACACGAGGGGTTCCCAGCCAGAGGGGAGGGTCTCCTTGGAAAGGGCTCTGCCACTGACAACCCTCCATGTCTCCACAGGGCCTCGGAGGAAGCATTCCTGAAGGAGTCCAAGGAGGAAACCCCAGGCTCTGAGTGGGAGAAGGTAGCCCAGCTCTGCGATTTCAATCCCAAGAGCAGCAAGCAGAGCAAGGATGTGTCCCGGATGCGCTCGGTGCTCATCTCCCTCAAACAGACGCCCCTGGCTCGCTAGCTGCCGCCTGGCACAGCCGGGAGCAGGGCAAGGCCAGGCTCGCCGGTCTCGTGGGGCCAGCCCCGCCTGCTCCCTGGTGTGCACCTCGGCTCTGCTCGAGTCACGGGTTGTAACTCCCCCCATGGTTTTCCTTTGCTTAAAAGGTGCATCGGTCTCTTTCTACACTTATTTATTACTGTGGCATTTCCCCGGGGAAGCGACACTGGGTGGCAGAGCTGAGTTAGCGGTGGGGGTTGTGTCCAGGGGCCTGGCCGAGTAAGAGGGGGAACACCCCATTCTGTGTTCCCCACCTCACCCTAACGCTGGGAATAACCCTGCCCGTGGCTGTCCTGGCGCTGGGCGGCTGCAGGCAGGGCAGCCCCGTGTCTGGGTCCTAGCCCCAAGGCCGCAATCCCAGCGGGACCCCTGGCTCCCATCTGCCTTTTTTGGGAGGGTGGGGGGTTAGAGCAGAGCTGGCTGCGGAGCTGGGAGGATGGAGGAACGGCCCTGACTCAGCTCCCCTCCGCAAGCTCCTGCGGGGAGCACAGCCGGGCTAGCAGGAGCTTGGGAATGTGAGTGCAGGCACCCAGGCTGGGCCGGGACTGCCAGCAGTTGCCCAAGCCCAGCAGACCTCTCCCCAGCCTGGCCGTGCATCCCAAAAATCTGGCAGTTGCAGTATCCACGCCCCGTTGGTGGGGCTGCTGGTGCCAGGCAGCACGGTTGTGCAGGGCACAGGGAAAGCGCCACGCAGTGAGCGTGCGGGATGTTTTCTGTCCTTCCCCCAAGGCCACCAGCAGTTGGGAATGTGCAGTGCCAGGCATCGGGAGCCCTCGGCTCTGCTCCGTCTCCTGCTGTAGGATGGGAGATGGAGGCTATGTGGTTGCAGGGAAGCAGGCAGGAAGGTCAAGCCTCCAGCTCCTAACCCAGGGGCGCAGAGCAGGGCCGAGCCGGGTTCTGATCCTGGGGCTAGTGCTGTCCCTGGAGAACAACCCACCCATCTGTCTGCAGCTGCTCCATGGCTTCTCTCTGGTCCCTGCTGGATTTGCACACCTAAGGCAGCGTGGTGAGATGCCTCAGTCCCGCTCCCCATCCCACAAAGCACGTTTTCCAGGCAGAACACCAGCTTTCCCTCTGCTTGGCAGGGCCAGCACCATCCCCTCCAGCTGGGAGGCCCAGCCCAGGAAACCTGCACAACTCCCTGGCAGCAGGAGAGGGACAGCCCTGAGCTCACGCGAGGGGCTTGGAGCTGGGGGCACATGGAGCAGAGGTCACGGGATGTCTCGGGGGTCTGTTGCCGGAGCCTCGTTGTAGAGCCTGCTCAGCCGAAGAGCAAATATAGAGAGCGTTCCTGTCCTGCAGCTGCAGCTCACGAGTCAGGGAGGTCACCTGCCCGGCTGCTGCAGCCCCCGTAGGGTGTCCAGCACCACTGGCTTGGGCTCAGCGCTGGGCTGGGAAGGGAAATGGGTGCACAGGGTGTCGCTGGGTGTTGTGCTGGGATTGTGCACCCCTGGTCCATAGGGCTGCTGGCTCCTACTCCGTCCCCCGGCGCTCCAGCACGTACAGGCAGCTCTGCTGCGGTGTGGGATAGGCGACGGTGC